CGACAAGGCAGCGGATGGCTATAGTTCTCTGCGTACTTCAATTGTATTGTGCTATTTTTGAAAAAGGAAAAAAAGAGAAATTACCTAAATTAATATATTCTGAATGGGTGACTGCCAACAACATGCATTTCAATGACAACTCTAAATAACGATCCTACTGTACCTCAAGAAGCATGTCCTTGATCTACTTCACCGAGATTCATTTTTTAATAAAAAGTTATATCACAATAGTAACCAAAGTATTTTTACTCTCACAGTAGCCTCTACTACTTTGTACCCTCTCACAGAACTATTCACAGTTCAAGATTTTGGTCAAACAGCAATTTGCCTATACAGTGCAACTGCAAGGCTATCTACTGTATTTGAATGACAAAAGATGACACTCACCTTAAAATGTCCATTGTAGTATTTCTATCTGTCTTAACTGTCGGAACTTGTCCAGGCATGTTAAGTGGGAGTGGACTTGAAATCCTTAACTCAAGGTGTAGAACAATTAAGTTATCAAGCCAATTGCATTACTTACTACAACTTGAATTTTGTTTTAAGTCAATTAACGCAGAAATCAGAGTTCAAATTACACACAATATTAAGTTGATGTAATTACCAACACAACTTATAAATCAACACAACTTATAAATCAATGTTTGCAACTTAAAATGTTTATCTAAATCAATTAACTCACATTTTTATCTTGCAACCATGCATTTAATTAAGTGGAGGTGAAAGGTCGCCTGAATTCGTTTTTAGAGTGTAGAGTCCAGCAGGAATAGGCTATTGTGGCCTTTTTATGAAGCCTTGTTTAAAAACTCCTTGCTTCCCTATCATTTGAAATGTTTCTAACTTTTGGCACCACAACCAGAACGTCTATGAACTCAGATCACTCAAGTGGAGCTCACCCTATAGAGAGAAACTACAGAACAACAGAATTCATTTCGACTGCATGAATAAAACATATTGCTGCAACACAAAAATCCATCATTGACTTAAAATGCAACTTGAGCTGTGTCTATTGATGTTTTTTGAATAAATAAAACACAAGCACATACAGTGTAATGTTTTCAATGGCTCTGGTAATATGGTTGCTTCAGCTACTTGAATAATAAGGACTTAACCAAAGTCAGGAAGAAACAGGAGTGTAATGTAGGTTTAATTGTTGATTTGTGTGTTGGCTTGGTTTCATTCTAACTTGATAATAACAGAATGTAAAATAGTCCATTAACTTCGTTTTTTTCCCATTTGGACTGTTTGAAAGTGTATTAATAGAAACAAGGATTGGAAAACCAGTGCATTTTCATGGTAGCAACAATCTTTTTTCAAGCATATCAGTGGCTAATACTGTAAGGTTGATCTAAGTAGCCTACTATCTATCCAAACCTTTGAATGCTACAGAAACGAATACAAAAATAAAAATCATGTCATTTGTTCTTGTATGCTGTAAGAAAAGTTTTCTTCTTCCAACAGTAGCTTACTTTTACTCTTTTTTTAGCTCCATCCATAGAGGTTTAATTATTTCTGCCCCCGGAGCAGCTCTGTGTCTGATGATGGACAGAACTGAAACTCCTATCTGTCATGACGATATAGAAAATCCACCATCAGTTGTATGCCTCGCTCGGCATGTGAGGTCATATTGCCACTGGGCTCTGTGTGCCTGCATTTCTGACATGAATTCACTGTGTGAGCTGGAAAGGCTTGATGTTCCCATAGCAGTGTGACCAGGATGGAGCTTTAGATTAGCTGAACCAATGAGGCGATTGTGTTTCATATGCCAGCAGAGGCAGGCTGTCCGTGGGAGCAGGAGTTTGGTTGTAAGGATTATTATGAAAGCCTGTTAATCTCTTCACCTCAGGAGACTGGGTGTCTGCTCTGTATCATCTAATGGGGATCTTAATAAAAAAGGACACCAAATTGAATATCTGTGGGCAGTAAGTAGGGTTAAGAGGCACAGCTAGACATGTGCTGATAGCAAAATTGTATAACGTGATAATCATGGCCAAAAGTAATAACCTTGGTATGGAATATTATCTCAGTAATTACTTTTTACAAGATAAAAAGCTTCAAAACATATATTAATGATGTGATCCACCGCAGCTATGGCTACATTTTGGTTAGGCTTAGGCACAAAAACGAATTGGTATAGGTCAGGGAAAAATTGTGGTCATGGTTAATAAAACCAGTAGGAAACAGCCAACCCATTATAAATTCATTATTTTGCTAAACATAATACAAGTATAAAATAAGAGTGTGTTTTTGGTGTACATTTGGAAACATTCTTCTGTAATGAGACCCCAAAAAGTAAATTGTAAGACCTCAGCTATGCAACAATGCATGCTCTTAATATAATGAATGTGTCTACAAAAAAGTTTCATTTTATTTTGTCAGGGACAAATAAGGGACCTTCAGTGTATTTGAATCAGTCATCATATTTTAGTCTTCTTTCAGCTGTGTCATTGATTTTGTCATGTTTTACGAGCTACTTAAAATGTCAAAGAAAAAGTGACCAGAGGGATGAGCAAATACATTTATAGTAGAACATTAGAAATAGACCCTCAAAAACAAAACAAAGAGTGTCCTTGTTTTGCAAGTACAACAAACGGCCCGAGCGAAGAGAAACATGAAGCTTTCATTACCTCTGCCAAGGTGATGTTTTTGATCCAGTTTATTCGTCAACAAAGAACCCATTAAATAGTTGAGTGGATCTCAAACACTCGGCGGATATACACAAAATATTTTACACTCAAGGAGACGGCCTTTGTAATGGTCTGCACACTATGAGTATCGTTGCAGTTATAGATGTGACAGAAACCAAAAGAAAGGAGCATGATGTTATTGGTTCGAGAAACTTTCTAAGGAGAAATATTTTATTATAATTAAGTGTATGACCCTGATGAAATTACAGAGAGCTAAACAAACAGGTAGAAAGATGTTGTATTTGTAGAAAACATTCATTTGTAAATCAAATAAGTATGTGGTGTGTAGCCTATCGATTTGATAACGTGTTTACCTTGAAGGAGATCTCGTACTGTTCTCCTCCCCAGATCTCCAGACCAGTGTCGTATCCTCCCAGCTCCCAGAACCACTTCCTGTCCACAGAAAACAGTCCACCTGCCATCACTGGTGACCTGCAGGAAAATCACAACAGATTTGTAAAAGGCATCTAAAGCATTTACATTACTGCTCTACTGATCTGCAGAGCGGCAACATTACCTTCCACTTTTCACTTGCCATATACATTTATAAATGTAAGATTTCCTCACAATCTACTGCAAGACTACTTTGAATCTCAGCCCTTTATCAGAGTCAAAGGAACAAAGATGGATCAAACAAAACAAGAAGACAATCCAAAATCAACCTTAAAAACGTCCTTTGTGTTATCACAACTGAAAAAGCTGTGAAAAAGAAAAAATGACGATAGGTGCTCAATGTCTCAATGATTGTATAGTCTAATGTTACCTATTGTGATTTCCTATCACTGAAAAGAATGGTCTTGATACAGAAGAGGATTAGGGCCACATGATTTTTTTTTTTGGGAGGATTTGAAAAAAAAAAACGTTTTTTTTTGTTCTGAGAAAAAAGTCAGAATTCTGACTTTGATCTCAGAATTCTTTAATTTTCCTCAGAACATAAAAAAAACATTTTTGTTTCAAATCCTCCCAACATTTCTTTTAATGTGGCCCTAATCCTCTTCCGTATCTTGACAATAAGTGAAAACAAAAAGTCAAGAAAATTATTTCTGTTTCAAAATATTACTGTTCATATTGATAAACCTAAAAGCTCCCGACAAACCAAACGATTGTGTCCGTTAGTGTTGCTCCAAATAGTTCCTCCTGAATATCATTTTCTCAGATTTTCATTGCAATATGTTCCCAATTTTGCTTACATGGTTTTATATGCTTCACAATGAATTAATCTTAGGTAGAATATTGTATTGTGCTTCATGAGTGTTTTTTATGCATGTACCGGTATGTATTCTCTTTGCTGTGACTATGTTAGAATCCATTGTAGCTGTTGTAAAGCCAAGTCTCCTGCAGAATACAACACACACACGAGACGTTGAAAGCAAGTCAGAGTTCATGTATTTATGGTGGCCCAATTTCTAACCAGATAATGAAGATGCACTGAACAAAGCAGAACCAATTAACCCACTATAGAGAGCTGTGGCTTCTGTCTGACAAGCTCCGTGCCGCTGAGTGCACGGCTTGTTAGCTGTTGTATCGCTGCTGTACTTCATTGCACCTGCTGCTCCATTTATTCTGCCTCAGGTGTGCTGTAGCTGCACACACACAGATGTACTCTTATTTCTTGTAAGGAAACCACCTATACTTCCAGTTATAGTTCCACAAGAAACAATCATAAATCTGCAAGTTGTGGTTTTAGTTGGTTCCAAACCTCTGAATTTTCTATAAATCTACGATGAAAGACAATGTCAGTTATACATTATTAATAGGTTTCTATCAAGTACATGTATGTTTTTTGTTGTAGAAACATTACTGTCAGGCAATTGTAATAATTTGTTTCTATGCATACAGTATATCGTATGGATGCAAAAACGAAGATAAACAAATCTGGGTTCTTCCCATGCCTCATGAGCACTGAGCACAGACACTGCTCCCGTGGTGATAATAGCCAGGTATATGCAGTTTTCCTTCTCCAAGGGTGAAGAGGATTAAATGAATCCAACAGGGATTACAAACACCTCTGTACTTCCCTCTGGCATTTTTTCAGTTTTATTTCTACAACATATCCCTGTCACACGCACACTAATATTGTATATTCAATATCAGCATATTTACAGATAGGGATTTACAGGGTTTGGTCTTGATTAGAAACAGCAGCTACAATTTTCCAATATATGTTATGCTGGTCAAAAAACGTGAAGCCTAAAAAAAGGGGTTTGAGTGAGTAAAACATTAATATGATAAAAAGAAACATTTGATTTGATCATGCCTGTTTTAAAGTGCTGGATTCTCACTGGCTGAATTACAGACTGCGTGGCAGCTGCAGTCAAATAACACAGAAGTTATTGACTTTGCCTGAAATAACAACCCATTGCATTACAAATTGGTCTAAATCGAAATTGGAATACATTTAAGCACAAAGGATCAGTTTGAAACATTGCAGGGGAATGGACTTAACTACCGCTGAGACATCGTGAAGCAGAGTAAATGAAGCTAACAGCTTTAGAAACGTTTTGGGTTGTGTTAATTAGAAAAGCTCACATTGCATTGACAAAAGCAACACACTGTGTAGCCCTAATTACCCTCAGAATGATTTTATTGTCGAATATCCCTGAAGTAAATCAAATTTCACTCTTTAAATGTAGGTATATTGTTTTCCAAAGGACACAAACAATGCATTTCTTCGATCTACCCTTCCCCCACTGCAACACTACACAAGGGCAACAAGGGGGTTAAGGCCATATTTGGACATTTCATTATCTGTTAATAAATAAAAGTGATTTGCTGTTACCAATAACCAAGTACACACAATGCAAATGTTACATAGTAATAAAGCAACAAAAAAATAATCACAAATGGGCATTTGCCACCTGTTTGTAGTTGCTCCACATGGAACATGCTGTGGCTGTAAGTAGGAGCATCACTAAGCTAAATGTTTAATTCATGTGTTGACACAGTGTCTACAGTAAGAAGAGCACTGCAGTGCAGGAGTGAAGTGGTTGCTCACGGGGTGTTTGACTTCCACTGAACTGAGTGTTGGTTAGAGCATAATGGATTACCCCCCCTGCTGGGTTCTCAGATAAAAGGTAAAAAGTAATCAAACAATGGCTTTCAGCCTGTCCGCACCAACTACACACATCTGTGACATCAAGGTAAGGGAGGTAGGGGTGTATTAGTTGACAACTTCTTCTGTACAGCACACCTATTAAGTGCTACAGATGTAACATGCATTAAATGACTCAACGCTATGACAAAGAGTACAGTGTGTTAACTCAAGAAAAAATTATCCTGGCGTGAAAAAGATAACAACAGCAGAAACCAGAAAAAGAAGGGATCCTCAAGTATAACCTTTAGGTGGACAATAAAATGAATTATCCTATAACTGATAGACAAAACACACTCTTGTTACTCACTCGAACGGTTCACTGGGGTCGTCCCCTTGCAGCTCCGGAGGGATGGGTATCCGTTTATAGTACATTTCCCAGTCAAACGCCCCTCGCATGGCATCCCCTGCCTGTGTGTCATAGCCGAAGTTGTCATGGTCGATCACATCGATCATCGGACACACGATGATCTTCCTGTTCTGGGCGATTCGGTCTAAAAAAACACAGTTTGTTCAGCTAATGTGCAGGGCATGGAGTTGAGTTAGTAGTCTGGTTAAACAATTATTGTTTGTTGTTTTTTAATAAAAGGAAATTTCTGAAGAAAAGCAGCCAGGGGCTTTATGAAAATATCATGGTCAAGGGATTTGGCCACATAGTAGTCATTATCACTACACAAAATATGGCATTTTCTTGACCTTGTGTCCAGCATAAGGCCTTGATTGATATATGCTCTTTCAACTTTATTGTGAATATAGAGATTGAAGGAAAACTATGAGAGGCCGTCTAGCTCACAACTCATACTTGGTCTTACAAACAATATCAGAATCTCACATGTACACCACCAGACTCTTTCACACACAGTATCACACCGTCTTTAACGTACTGTCATTTCCTCCTTCATTTACTATCAGACTATCATACATAAATAACTATAGGTTACTTACGTAACCCCAGTTCTCAGAGTAACATGAAGTGAGATGTCTCACTATGGGATGCGCCTCAACGCGTATGCAAACAGAAGCATCAATCTCATTACGCCAATCCTGATTGGCTGGTGATCTTGACGTCTACGTCAGGGAATCCACCCACCCGTTAAGTAGCTTGCGCTACGTCGCAGCGTCATTCAAAATAAGCACCTCTTCTCGCTTCGCCTTAGCAAGAAGGGCCGTCTGGTGAGACATCTCACTTCATGTTACTCTGAGAACTGGGGTTACGTAAGTAACCTATAGTTCTCATTCATAACACTCCGTTCGATGTCTCACTATGGGATATTGTAGCTCCCGTATTGCCAGACGAGCTTATCTCGAAAATCACCAAACCCAACCAGAATTTAACTGTTAGAGCTCTAACTCAGCAGGGGGCCCAGCACTGCGCGGGCCACACTGGGAGCAGAGACATCTAACCTGTAAAAGCGGACAAAAGTGAGCGGCGAGGACCAGCTCGCTGCTGCACAAATGTCTTGGATGGAAACACCCCTGAACAAAGCCCAGGATGTAGCCAGACCACGAGTCGAATGAGCACGCACACCCGAAGGTGCCTGCAGACCCTGACTCGTGTAAGCCAAAGCAATTGCCTCCACAATCCAGT